GTTTCAAATGCTCAGGCCAGGCCAATGTCTTTCTCTTCCTGCTTGCCTGCGGATCTAGATGTAGGACTCTCAGCTACTTTGGCAGCACCATGCTTCCTGCCATGATGATAATGGACTAAACCTTTGAAACTGTAAGCCAGTCCCTAATTAAGTGCTTTCTCTTATAAGAGTTGCCATGGTCATGGTGTCTCTTCACAGTAATTAAACATTGACTAAGATAGATCCCATATTAAGTAATTGGTTTCATTAAAGCATTTTCATACATCCTTTGTTCTTATTCATCTCTCCTTCCGCACTGCTCTTCATCACTCCCTGTCCCCGTCAAGCTGTTCCCCTTCTTTCTCCCCAATAGTCTTTATTGTCTTTCATATCACTTGTATTCCACTACCTCTCCCTTCCCCTAAGACTTTTCTTTTACGTCAAATGGTCCCCCTTTCTAGTTTCACAACCTATACGTGTGTACATGTGCACACACACACACACACACACACACACACACACACACACACACAAACACACACATGCAAGTAAATACAGGTTTTGCATATAAAAAAACACAAGTGGTTTTTGTCTTTCTGAATCTGACTTATTTTTGTGTAACATAATGACTTCCAGCTCAATCCATTATTTCTGAAAATGTCACAATTTCATTTTTCCTTATGGCTAACTAAATAAACATTTATATGCAAGTGTGTCTGTGGTGGTAGGACTTAGAGTCCTTTAGGTATATTTACAGGTGTGGTGTAGCTGGGTCCTGTGATAGGACCCATCACTATGCTTGTAATTAAAAGAATAAAACCCTCTGGACCAATTTTTATAGTGGCTATACCAGTTCAAATTGTGACCAGTAATGTATATAGGTTCCTCTTTCCCCCACATCTTCACCATCATATACTGTCATTTATTATTTTTTTCTTTTCTGTTCAGGTGAAATATCCATTAACTACAGATGCCACCAATGGTAGGAGAGGCTTGGCTAAAAGATCCAACAATAACCTTTAGGACAAAGGCAATTCCTTACCTTTATATACTTTTAAAGTAGTGGAGTGTCTGACTAGGCATAATTGAGGCTGCTACATGTTAGGAGGTGTAGCAAAGGTAGTAGATAGGATACAAAGCCATTAATCAGATTACCTTGATCCTGGGTAGCAGGAAGCTGATCTTGTTGTCTTGCCATATCTGAGAGCTTATCTCCAATACCTGGTGTGGGAAAAAAGCTGCAGAATAATGCTCTTGTATACTATAAAGATTTGTCACTCAAATTGGTTTAATAAAACACTAATTGGCCAGTAGCCCAGGCAGGAAGTGTAGGTGGGGCAACCAAACTAAGAATGCAGAGAAGTGGAAGGGCGGAGTCAGAGAGTCGCCAGCCTGACACAGAGGAAGCAAGTTGAGAATACCCTACCGAGAACAGGTACCAAGCCATGTGGCTAAACATAGATAAGAATTATAGGTTAATTTAAGTGTAAGTGCTAGTTAGTAAAAAAGCCTGAGCTACTGGCCAAATATTTATAAGTAATATTAAGCCTCAGAGTTAATTATTTGGGGAAGCAACAGCTGAGTGGTTATTTGGGACTGGGAGGTCAGGACAGGAAATGTCTGCTTACAGGGTATGGCTAACTTACTTATGCAACAGTGGCATCTGGGATCTGGCATGTACGCATCTTTTTTTTTTTTTTTTTTTTTTTTTTTTTTTTTGCTTGTATAAAAAGAAAATTGCCTTATTGTTAGAGGGAGGTGTGGGGCCCAAAGTATTTATGACATCTACTTCAGTTCTGACTACTTCCTCCAGAATTGTGGCATTTTCAAGCCCCCTTCCTTCTTCATCTCCTGTAAATTTGTCAGTTGATGACCCTTGAGTCATGAGCTGGTATTTGTATTCACATATGAAGAAGGTGTGATCCACCTGGGTCTGTGTGGCATGCTGGGCAGTGGTCTGGTTGAATCAAGTTAACAGGCAGATTAGAAAAGCGTCTAAGATGTAAGAATCAAAATAGTTAATGAAGTGACAACAGATATGATCAAGGAGATCATGTATAAGGAACTTTGAAACCATCTGTCCTGACTCTGATGCCTGTTGTCTGATTCTTGAGGCATAGTCAAATGGTTTCTTTGCTGTGTCTTTGACCAGATTGCACTGATTTTCATAGAAACCACATTTATCTTCCAAAAGTGAGGGAGGGAGAAAAAATCCCCTCCCCCTTTTCTTCTGCTGTCTGAGAATTTAGGCTTCTCCTATTTTGGAATTTGACTGATGCTAATGAGTCTATTGAATCTTGGATTTTTATCAGACTTTGAAAGAATTCATCAAGGCTTTTATGTGTGTCTTGGGATAAAGAATGATAGTAGTTTACAGGGATGTTCAATTCTGCTAGTCCCCTCTGAATGAAAAAGGGAAATAAAAAGGAAAGGAAAGGACATGACTGCTCCTAGGTATGGTGGAGGAGAAAGTTTACTGTAGATAAAAAGGGAGAGTGAAGGTAGAGACTGGGACAGGGACATGTGAGAGAGTCCAGAGTGGACATGACCAGGCTGAGCTGGGCCATGTGGTGAGAGGGGGAGGGGAAAGGAGAGGGAAGAGAGAGGTTAACCAGGTGCAGCATCCAGGTGGCCAAAGGTACAAAAGGGAAGGGTAACCAAAATGTCTGGATTATATAAGTAATAGTCTCTGGGAGATGGGCAACCCAGCCCCTGGGCTAGAGACTTCAGGGTAGAAGGCAGGGTATGCAAGCCATACCCTGTAACAGGTCAGGACTGAAGGGTGCTGGGGGAACCTGGAGGCCAGGTCCGGTTTAATATATTACATAGGTACCCTCGGCCATTTGTCCTGGGCTTGAAACTTAACATCCCAGCCTTTTTGTTCATAGTAAGTGAATGATAAAGGGTAATGTTTTCATCTATGACTACTTCATTCTGACAATGGGGCATCATTGTTGGGGACCCAAAGAGCTGGAACGTTGGCCAAGTCTGGGAAGAGCAGACTGTTTTCACTCACTGTCCAGGCTCTACTCAGCTGGGGCTAGGAACATGCAGGCAGCAGTTGGAACAGTTTGCAGTCTCTTATTGATTAGAAATTTGCTGGAATTATATATATATATATATATATATATATATATATATATATATATATATATATATAGTGTGTGTGTGTGTATGTATGTATGTATGTATGTATGTATGTATGTATGTATTTTAGGGTCAGAAGGTAAAGTTAAGGAGTTTAGGGGGGAATTTTTTTTCCTTAGGTGTACATTTGGAACTTTTAGGCCCATGGACCTGGTAGTTGGGGGAGGAGAGTCCCAGAGCAGGGAAAGGGAAAGAGATCCCACCCCCAGGAACAGGCAGTAGGTGGGGAGATAGGCTGTTGATTGATAGCACTTATCTGGAGTCCATTTAACCTGTGAGAGGTGGATCCAAGTCGATTCCCTGAAGCTTACAAGATTTTTTTAAGTTTATAAAAAGAGATAGGCTTTAGATATATTAGCATTACCTCTGTTTGTAGTCTGTATTGAAATCCACATTATAGAAAAAACAGTAGACTCATCATGCCTTTGATTCATAGTAAAAGGTTGGGAACCCCCAAAATAATTCTGGGTTAAAAGCATGAACACTCTTTCCTCTATCCAGAAGACTGGGTATATATAGATTAGATAGACACTTTTAGCACAATGAGGAGCACTTTTACATCTATAGTTAGAAGACAACTAAAGGAAATTTAAAATCTTGAGCTTGTGACTATGATAGTAATAGTTCACTGCTCACCAGGGTTAGATTAGTAGCTTATTAGAACTCTATTGGTTAATGTCAAAACTTTGAATTTTTGAAGTCTTAGTATAACAATAGTATAGTGAGGGAAAGAAATCTGAAGCATTTTTTTTCATTTTTTACATACCTTAAATCACTTTTTAAAATCCAGTTATTTACTATGAGACACAGGTGGTTGATTCCTGGCAGCAGTCATTGTAAAGTGAGTTCCTTTAAATAAAGAATAGTAAAAAGTTACATTGAAATCTGTTTTGTGAGTTTATCTTTTTTTGGAGTCTGGTAGGAAGGTAAACTGTGTCTAGGCCTAGTAGTAGCTCTAGGAAAGTGAGGCCTGTGGCCTGGTTTTTACAGATGAAGAGAACTGAGGAGGCAGCTGAAACCTTGGTTGCTGCTGTTAAACTGACAAAGCTATCACTAGCCTAGTCATCAACACCACCAGAGATCTGAGAAGGATGTATTTCACCCAAGTAAACAGGAAGTACAAACCAAACAGCTTCTGAATCTGTTTTTTAAAAAAAAATAACCAACACTTACCAGGTACCTGGACAATCACCCTAGGCTCCTCCACCGTTGTTGGGGTCAGAAGTCCCAGGGCAGCATAAGTCTTTGGCTACCAGGCCCAGAAGATCTGACAGACTTTCCTGTGTTAGGAGGAGCTTGGGACAACTGGCCTAACTTGTCTAAGCAAAGCGGAGCAATCAACTCCCCAGTGTCTTGCTTGTCGAGAGTTTTGACAGGGTCTTGGCAGCAGTTGAGGTGAAGGGCAGTTTTTCTGTCCAGTGGCTAGCTTTGCCACATTTAAAGCAAGCTCCACGTGGAGGTTCTTCTGTGGCCATCTCTGGAGGAGATTAGGGGTGCTGCCAGGAGATGGCACTTCTCTCTATCTCAAAAAGCCTTTTTTTTTCCCTATGAAACATTAAATGCCGTATTCAGAAGACCTCTGAAGAGTTTGAGGACCATCTATCTATTAAGAATACCTGATTTGGTTACTTGCTTTAGGCTTAACTTTGAAAACATATACAGGAGGCTAAATAAAGCTTGTTCCTATAATTAATTACATTAGTACTGAGCATGACTACAAGTATAGTTCTGAACACATTAAAGAATTTGATTATTTATAATATGACTATTAACTTACTTGCCTTAATTATCTTTAACAGTTTATAATAATTTAGTGGCTTTTATAAGATTAGGATTTTATAGCTTTATCCCTTTAAGGTTGAGCCTTAAAAATATCAAGTTCTGAATTGAAGCTCTTTTAGTATGAAAATAAAACTTATAATAATAGATACAGTTCATAGGGAGACTGGTAAATTTACTGGTCCTTTTATAGTTTGCCATTATAGGATATTGCAGGTTTTTGTATGGCTTACTTTATCCAAATAGCTAAAACTTAAAGTGAGCAAAGGCAAGGAAGCTAGACAACTATTATTGTGAACCTGAGTAGACCTTAGAAACGTATAAATCTTAGTTACCAAATATACCTTATTTATCAAACAAATATTATTTATCAAATATATCTTATTTATCAAACGTTATTACTTATCTAGATTTTCTAGAAGCTTGGTGTTGAACAATTAGCAAAGACACAGTAGTTATACATACATCTTAATTAGCTTTTGTTAACCTGAGTAGAACTTTCTCCCTGTAATATTTCATCATCATATACAGTATATTCTAAACCAGAATTGAATCATATATATATATATATATGTATATATATATATATATATATATATATATTATGCTGTAGTAAATAGAACCTTAAATATTTATCATCATACAAAAATCCATAGTAATCCAAATATATTTGAGACTTGTTGTTGCTTCCTTAGTCTAAAAAGAGATAAACTAAGGGCTCAATAGGACTGAGAAGTTTTATAGTTGTTGCTTTATGCCACGTGGTCATCTTAAGATGGTGAGGTCACATGGCATGTACCCTTTAATCTTAGTAAAGATGGCTGCCAGTCATGTAGCTACTTATATCTTGAAGGTCGTCAGGTAAGATGGAGGAGAGCTACATGGTTGCTATTTAAAACATCTGCTTTCCTAAACAAGAGTTGAATATATATAGATATTCAATATCTATATTCTAGATAAGAGTTGAATCACATATATAGAATGTTGTAGAAAGTAAAAATTCCTATGTATAGGTTTTAATGATAAGCCTTTTGCTATAAGTTTTAGGCCAAATTTTGTTACAGATTTACAGATTCTTTAACCACACCCAATGAACTTACAAATCAATCCTGAGATAAAGACTGTTTAAACAACAGTCTTAAAAGATTTCTTGAGAGTAGAGCACAGAGAAATCATAGAGATAAAATATTTAAGAGTGGAAAGTTATAAAACCTTAGAGATAAGAGACTTTGGGATCATTTGCTTGTGCCATGGCAGAAGTTGTTACAATCTGTGAGAATTTGGAACTAGAGTGTGCCATCTTTGGCTATCCAGATATACTGAAGCCAAGCCATTTCCAGTAAGACAGCAAGGCTTGAAGAAAACCTTTGAGTCTGAGAAAGGACTTGAGTCCAAGGAAAAAAAGAGGAAGCGTCAAACAAACAAACAAACAAAACAAAAACAAAAAACAAAAAACAAAAACCTCCATAGGGAGGGTTTGGCAGCTAAGAGACAGGAGCAGTGGTAGCCATAGGGGACAAGGAGGAACAAGCAGGAACTCCACCTGAAGGAGGGTTCCCATATGGCAGAAAGCCATGAGGGCATAGAGAAGCTGTGGGACTTCGCAGGCAGCTTCTTGGGGGAAGCAAGGAAACTTGCAATGTACAGACCCCAGAGGGCCCTAGGAGAGATAGAACAAGTAGCTCTGAGGAGAAAGGGGCAAGGAAAGGGTCGCAGATCCTGGAGCATTCAGGAGCTCCTAGGGGGAGGTGAGGAAGTTCCAGGAAGGAGCTGAGGAGCCATGAGGGAGCAGAGGGAGTGAGGTTCACAAGCAGGAAGTACATCAAGATATGCTTGCCCCTGACTGGATGTAGCTGGAGGTACATCAGGATGTATGCTTGTCCCTGATTGGACTTGATGGGAAATGCAATGAATTATGGGTTTTCCTTCTTAAGCTGCTGCAAACGGTGATTTAGGGTCATTTCCTGGGAACCTGGGTATGGACCTGGCCTGAGTCCATCCACCTGGTCAGTATTTAATTAAAGCTTGCTTCAAATTTGGCTTTTAACTGTGGTAGTGGTCTTATTCTTGATCAGTGAGAATATCACTCCACACAACAGACCTCACACAAGAGAATTATTGGGGAGGGGGGGGGTGGGACATGAAAGGCCACCTCTGATTAATGAGAGAGAGAGAGAGAGGGGGGGGGGGGAGGGAGGAGAGAGGAGAGAGGAGAGAGAGAGAGGAGAGAGAGGAGAGAGAGGGGAGAGGTGAGAGGAGAGAGAGAGAAGGAGAGAGAGAGAGGAGAGAGAGGGGAGAGGAGAGAGGAGAGAGAGAGAGAGAGAGAGAGGAGAGAGGAGAGAAGAGAGAGGAGAGAGAGAGAGAGAGAGAGAGAGAGAGGAGAGAGAGAGAGCAGGTCATGATAGCTTGGGCTTTTATGGGGGTGGGGTATGGAGCATGCACATAGGGAAAATACATGGCACTGGTGATGTGTAAATGTGTCGCATTGGCCTTTAGTGATGGTGACAATTGAAGGTGTGGTGGGGGATGAGGGAGCACCTGGTTCAGGAATGTGGGTGGTTCTAACAAAAGTTATGGAAATTTTGGGAGTTGGACTGAATGCATTTTGCATTATGATATAGTTAAAGCCCATGGAGGCCAGGGAGTAGAATGTGGTGGTTTGACTGAAAATGGTCACCATAAGTGCACATGTTTAAAGGCTTGGTCCCCAGTTAGTGGAATTGTTTGGGAAAGATTACGAGGTATGTGCTTGTTGCAGGAGATGTGTCACCAGGGGTATGCTTTGAGGTTTCCAAAGCCCATGCCAGCCAGCCAGGTTCAGTCTCTCTGTCTCTCTAAATCTCTGTCTCTCTGTCTCTGTCTCTCTCTCTCTGGCTGCTGCCTGCAGAAAAGTATATAAAGCTCTCAGTTACTGTTCCAGCACCATGCCTGTCTGCTTCCCACCATGATGATAATGGACTAACCCTCTGAAACTGTAAGGTAAGCAGCTCCCTCCCCCACCCCAATTGAATGAAACTCTTTTATAAGAGTTTCTTTGGTCATTGCCTTGGTCATGGTGTCTCTTCACAGCACTGTAACAGTGACTAAGACAGGGCACATTTTCATCTAAACCACCACAACACCTCTGCCACAAATTATGAGGGTCTACCTGTATGCATTTATTTCTACGATCTTCTATTCAATTACATTGATTTGTGTATCTGTTTAGGAGCCAGTACCATGCTATTTTGGTAACTATGACATTATCTTGCAATTTAAAATCAGGTATTCGTTTTTTTTTCTTAGGATTGCTTTGACTATTCAGCATATTTGTGCATCAATGCAAATTTTAGGCTTACTTTTTCTTCTACTTCTATAAAGAATGTTATGAGAATTTTGATGGGTATTTCACTGAATCTGTTAATTTTCTGTTGCTGTGATAAAACATGACCAAGGCAATTAATAGAAGAAAGAGTTTATTTGGACTTATAGCTCCAGTGGGTTAGAATACATAATGTTAGGAACAGAATGGCAGCAGATGGCATGCATGACATCAGGAGCAAGTAGCTGAACACTCGGGTCCTGCTAGGTGTTATAGCATTCCAATCAATGGATACTTCATCTTGGGAGATCTGTGTGATGGGCTGCCAGGCATCAGATCATTGACTAAATGGCTTGTCTGTACACTTTTTGTTTGCTTCTGAGACATGGTTTCTCTGTGTGGTCCTGGCTGTCCTGGAACTCACTCTGTAGACCAGGCTGGCCTCAAACTCAGAGATTTGCCTGCCTCTGCCTCCCGAGTGCTGGGATTAAAAGGTGTGTTCCACCACCACCCGGCAGCTGTCTGAGTGATATTTAGCTTCTTCCAGGATCTCCTGTTTTTATTCAAAATATCATTTTTGGTATGGATTCTATATAAAGGTGGCCTTGGGATCAGAGGCCTTCACCTTCACCTTTGCCAGCCTGCCTGTGTGTTTGTTGGTAGACCTCCATCCCTATCACCATGTGGCCCATGGACCAACCACATGTGTAGTTCCCATATATAATGGCATGTGCCTGCATGAATGGATGCCTGCCATTGGCTGCCTGCTTAGCAGCCTTTGCTCTTTAAGTGACTAAAGTATATTTGCCTGTGGCTCCTCTCAACCTCTTCAAACTCCCAGTGTCCCATCACCCTCCTGATTTCCCAGCATTGGGGCCTGGGTCTCACAACATGCCTGAGGAAAGCAACAGGAGGCTCAGAAGCACTGCTTTGAGTATCAAATTCTTCTAGGCTTACCCTTTACCTGGCTGACATTGGAAACATTTGCTTACTTTCTTTTCTCTCTCTCCCCCTGATGGGATTAAGTTCAGAAATGTGAGATACTCATCTCTGCTATGAGAATCTCTCAGGTAATTCTTTTACCTTGTGGAATTTCTCCTAAGATGCCCTAAAAGATACAAATTAAGGGAAAATTAGCCTCAAGTATTTGCTTGTAAGTTTCAGAGAAGCAGCTTACTTGAATGAATGGCATCAGTTTTGTTGTTCTTGTTAATGATGACGTTTTTCTGTTTGTTTTAAAAAAAATCACCCTTCAGGTAATGCTAGTGCTAAGTTACCAGTCTCCACTCTTATACAGTCCAGACTCAGCTACCTAGGGAATGGTGTCACCCACAGTGGGGAAGTATGCTGACCTCAGCTAATATAATCTAGAAAACCACCCACACATGGAGGAATGCCCAGAGGCACATCTCCCAGATAATTCTAACTTCTGTAAAATTGACAACAGCAATCACAGTTTCCTTCTCTCACATCATACCACTTCTACCTTCATTGTGAGTTTGTGTGTGTGTGAGTGTGTGTGTGTGTGTGTGTGTGTGTGTGTGTGTGTGTGTGAGAGAGAGAGAGAGAGAGAGAGAGAGAGAGAGAGAGAGAGAGAGAGAGAGAGAGGAGAGAGAGAGAGAGAGAGAGCATAAACATACACCTTCTAATCTCTTTATGGGGGAAAACATGTAAGGCCTTTGCTATTATGTAGAGGATTGCATTCCTCATCCTCCCCATCAGTTATCATCAGTGGGCTCTGTGACTCTTCCTTCTGCAGTACTACTTCCAGCTGTCTTACACTGCCACTGGTACCACCCTACATTAGACAATCATCATTCCTTGCCAGTGCTACTACACTTTTATCAGAGGTCACTCTTCTCTAATCCATCTTTTAAGGGTCTGCAATGTTGACATTCTAAAATATATGCCTTCTCTCTCTCCCAAATGGGCCAGCACCTTCCCCTTCTCAATGTTCAAATATCCAGACATCCACCCCATTTCTCCAGCTTTGTGAAAGTTTTCTTTGCTACATTTTCCTTTCCTCCCATTCTCCAAGTTCACAGGTTTCTCTGAAGGGCCTGACCAGGTGTCCATACTTTCTTATGCTTATCCCCTACTGGACACCTCCACTCTCACTTTCTTTTCCTAATGAAATACTTTTTAAAAGGCAACAGTGGTGCACCCCTTTAATTCCAGCACTTGGGAGGCAGAGCCAGGTGGGTCTCTGTGAATTTGAGACCAGCCAGGTCTACAGAGAAAGATCCAGGACAGGCATCAAAACCTACACAGAGAAAACTTGTTTTGAAAAAAAAACAAAATAATAATAATAATAATAATAATAATAATAATAATATTCTTTTGACAACTTGGTAGATATCAAGCTCTCTTTTCACTTAAGAAGACTGGGAAGTCTTCCTGTTCTTTTCAAGGTGGAGGTCACTCAAGTGACCAATCAGCAGATGAGAGAATAAGTAAAATGACCAAAATGTTGCCAGCTGTTTTTTACTCTTTTGTAGGGACCACCACCCTGCTCCCAAATAAATCACACACAGAGGCTTTTTCTTAATTGTAAATGTCAAGCCCTAACTTGACATGTTTCTAGCCAGCTTTTCTTAATTTAAAATTATCCTGACTCTCTTTTGCCTCTGAGCTTCTCCTCTTCTATTCCTGTATATTTCACAGATTCACAGAGTTAAACAAATGCATCATGAACAAGAGTAACACACCTTAAAATAATATTCTGTAACATTTCCTCCCTTTTGTCTAAACAAGAAAGGCTTTAACTTTAACATTGTAAAACTATACACAACAAAAACAGTTATCAAGTAAGAATTTACAAGATTCAGTCAATTTGCAAAACTCTAGTTATTTAGCCTTTAATAATATTGCCTAACAACAGAAACATTTAGCTGCCTGGACAGTCACGCACAGTTCTTCTGCAATGTTGGGGCATCCATCTTCAGCCTACAGGCCTAGAGTATCTGGAAGGCTTTTCAGTGAAGCGGGAAATTTGAGGGACTGTCCTGCCTTGTTTTGGCAAAGTTCATCAGTCGCTTTTCTCTGTGTCCTGCAGAATATCTGACAGACTCTTCTGTGAAACAGGAATTTTGGAGGACTGTTCTGCCTCATTTTGGCAAACTTCAGCGGTCACCGTGTGTCCTGCATGTCCAGTGCTGTGGGATGTCCTGTATGTTGTGAATATATGTTGCTATGATTGATTGATAAACAAAACAATGATTGGCCAGTAGCCAGGCAGGAAGTATAGGATAGGCGGGACAAACAGACAAGAGAGGCTGGGAGGTGGAAGCTGGGGGAGACGCCAGCCTGCCGTCCAGGGAGCATCATGTAAAGGCACGGAACACGTGGCGACATATAGATGAACAGAGATGGGCTGAGTTAAGTGTGAGAGCTAGTCAGTGGTAGGCCTGAGCTAATGGCCCAGCAGTTTAATTAATATAAGTTTCTGAGTGATTATTTTATAAGTGGTTGCAGGGCCCATGGTGCTGGGCAGGACTGGAGAAAACTCCAGCTACAGTCCAGTCTGCACAGCACACTGTCAGCAGTCAAAGGCAAGAGCAGATTATTTGCCCAGTGGCTAACCTTGCCAGAGTGAAAGCAAACTCCATAAGGAGTGTCTTTGATGCCCATCATCTCTGAAGGAAATTGGTGCTGCCAGGAGCAGATGTGTCTCATTGTCATGAAACACCTTAAGTTAACAAAACATTTTAAATGCCATATTCCATAGGTCTTTGAAGTGTTTGAAGACCACTTCTTCTAAAATATACCTATTTAACCTTGAAAACATAACTAATGTGACTACAAGTTTGATCATTATAGATTAACCACCAACCTCATTTCTTATTCATACACTGCATTTTAAATGAGCTGCATAAATAAGCACAATACCCCAACTTTTCTTTGTTTCTTACTCCATAGCTGGTTGTGTGGCTGGGTGACTGGCCCCTGGATCCTCCTCCTTCTCTGGTGACTTCCTCTTTTCTTCTAGATCTCTCATTCTAGTTATTCTGTCTGCCTGCCAGCCCTGCCTATCCTTTCTCCTGCCTCGCCATTGGCCGTTCAGCTCTTTATTAGACCATCAAGTGTTTTAGACAGGCACAGTAACAGCTTCACAGAGTTAAACAAATGAAACACAAACATGAGGTAGCTGTGGCTTGTTCTGCTTCTCTGATCTTCCAGCATTCACCACAATAACTGGCCTTAGGTTTGAGTTAATTAATAAGACCTTGTAAGATTCCTGCTACATCTGGCGCCCAACGTTCGTGGTACAAATTCACAAAAAAGCCGCTTGCCTGTGGCCTTGTGGGCCCCAGCTCAGGCCCGAGCTACCCTCGGCTGGTTGTGGTGGCACACTGGTTGGATTTATTGAAGGAGCCAGAGGCAGGAGGATCCCGAGTTTGAGGCCAGCCTGGGAGGCTTGCTAAGGAGAAGCTGTGGCCTGGCCCAAACCAAAAACAGTGGAGGCAGGACCACCGAGGTGGTGGCTTCTGCTCTGAGCTACAAGCTGCTTCTCATCATGTTGGTGACTGCGGTGATGCTGCTACCTGGGACGAAGGGTTTACTGCTGCTTGTTCCGAGAAGAATTGCCAGGACCATCGTGTTACAAGAAAGCATCGGCAAAGGTCAGTTTGGAAACGTTTGGCGAGACAAATGGTGGGGAGAAATTGCTGTGAAGATTTTCTCTTCTAGGGAAGAACATTCATGGTTCCGAGAGACAGATATTTATCAGACTGTGATTGCTCCAAACCACAGAGGAGGCACGAAAAATAAAAATAAAAAATAAAAATCTACAGGAACCATGACCACGCTTAACAGCAACTTTGAATTCTTCAAAAAGATGACAGGAGCCCACAATGACGATTCCACATGGACTATGATAAAGGCATTAAGCTGATTAACACCACCAAAAGATTGACTTTGGACTACAAACTGCTCAGAACATTTTCAAGATGGCTAGCTGAGATGATCCAGATTCATAGACAACTCGAGCAAGGACTTGAGACAAGCCCTGCACTTTCCCATTATGCAGAGATTGGACAAATGATACAACTAACTTTATCAGGACTTGACAATTAGCCCCAAAATTTTCTCTTTAGGATTCCCTAAAGATGTCTTCACCCCCAGAAAGCAGGAAGTAATTTCAAGAACACAACACCCACATTCCCAAGAAGTGGGGTGGGTGTTTTTTGGTTGTTTAGTAAGTTAGGGATATTGTCATTGTTTATGACGGTTGGTTACAAGTTGTTAATTGTTATTGGCCAGGAAGAAAGCTGAACAAGGAGATTAGATCCAGAGTTTTCGTTTAAAAAAGAAAAAGAAAAAGAAAAAAGAGAATATAGATATGAGGTAGATTATTGAATCTACTCTGAGAAAAAAGATAAAGAAATCATAGGATAAATGGGTAGATCATTGAATCTACTCTAAAAAGAAAAAGGGGAAGATATGTAAATGACAAAAGGTAGACTATTGAATCTATTATGAAAAGAAAAAAGAGAATATGGATATGATAAGATAAAAAGGTCAATTATTAAATCTACTTTTAAAAAGGAACTACTTGTTTTAAATAGGATAAGTAGTGAATTTTTTGTCTGAGTTTATCAAATGCAAATGGACTGGACGTTGTTATATATTAATGGAGTTATTCGTCTGAATCTTTCAAATGTTAATGGACTAGACATCGTTAATGTAATTCTTGACTGTATATATTGTATATACTTATTGGATATAGTTTTTTTCTTGCATTAGTTATAAGCTTTTTTAAATTTTAGACAGAAAAAGGGGGGGGGGGGAATGTGGTGGTATTGTGTTCTCCAAAATATTGTGTGACCCTAATAAGCTTATCTGGGGTCAGAGAACAGGACAGCCACTAGATACAGAGGCTAGAAAATGGTGGCACTCACACCTTTAATCCTAGCCTTCTGGAGGCATGGATCTCTGTGAGTTCAAGGCCACACTGGAAATAGCCAGGCATGGTGACTCGCGCCTTTAATCCCAGGAAGTGATGGCAGAAAGCAGAAAGATATATAAGGTGTGGAGACCAGAAACTAGAAGCATTTGGCTGGTTAAGCTTTAGGCTTTTGAGCAGCAGTTCGGCTGAGATTCATTTGGATGAGGACTCAGAGCCTTCCAGTCTGAGGAAACGGGATCAGCTGAGGAACTGGCAAGGTGAGGTGGCTGTGGCTTGTTCTGCTTCTCTGATCTTCCAGCATTCACCCCAATACCTGGCCCTGGGTTGGTTTTATTAACAAGACTCTTTAAGATTCATGCTACACAAACAAGAGTAACACAGCTTAAAATAATATTCTCCAAAGACTTGTTAGCATACAGTGGACTATTATTCGGGTGTGGAAAGGAATGGAGGAGCACTGGTTCAAGCCGCTACATAGGCGAGGTGAGACACAAGGAACTGTGTACTGTGGGTGAAACATCATGAATCCAGGATGCTAAGTGAAACGGACAGACACAGGTACACTCAAGAGGACGGTTTGCCGAATGATTCCACCTACAAGAGCTGTCCAACTCGGAGATGAGCTGACGTGGCAGAAAGCAGAGTAGCGGCTAAGGGGCCCCAGGGACCAGGAAAGCCTGCAGCTCTGGATTTGCTCGGGATGCTTGGAGCTCTGAGTTTAAGTCTCCGGAAGGAAAAAGGGAAAACCCCTCAGGTTTACAGTGGTGACTGGGATCCTGGGTGGGGCGTGGGGTGGGTGGTGGGTGGTGGTGGGGAAGGTAGGGACAAAGAGCTCACGCTTAATGGGTAGACACGGTGAAAGTACCTTAGAAGCCGAGGGTTGTGAAGGGCTTGGTTCTCAATGGCACCACTGAGTTGCTCCCCCTCACGTCTTTGTCTTTCCTAGAAGGCTCCTTGAGCAGCCCAAGGTGTCCAGGTGGCGACAGCGCCCCTAGCGAGGGCGGGCTGGGAGCCATCACACACCACACGTCATCAGTGGGAGCTGGAGTGGGAGCACAGAAGAGAGGATTTCGACCGTGAGGGGTCGCTAGGATACGCAGCCAGACGCAGAGGGGGCCCTTGGGATCAGCCTGGAGGCCCAGAGCCCAGCAGGCCAGCAGAGAGCCGCCAGGTGGAGCAGAACCAGCCTGTGAGGTCGCACTCCGAGGCCAGCATGCCCAGGACCAGACAGGGCAGCCGTCGAGGGTCGTCGTCGTCTCGCCGCTCCCGCACCTCCAGAGCCGAGCTGACCTTCTCTGTGAGCCTGGTGGAACACCGTCTTCGGGAGGGCGGCCATGCCCGGCGGCTGAGCGAAACGGTGCCCATCTTGCTGACTGCCATCCTGGAGTTCCTGACCCGCAGGCTGCTGGAGCTGGCAGGCAATGAGGCCCAACGCCGAGGCGCACAGAGGCTCATCACCCCGGAGCTGCTGGACGTGACTGTCTACAATAACACGCTGCTCAGCGAACTGTTCCAATTCGCCACCATCTCCCAGGTGGCCCCGGCTGGTCGCCCCCGTCGTGGGCGTCGACGTCAACGCTAGCTACTACCTGCTGCTGCTGGTGCTGCTGCTGGCTGGCTCTGGGTTGCTGACCTGCCCATCCGCCCCAATCTACCCACCGAGCATCAGTTCATCCCGCCCAAACTTTGCCACAGACAGCCCTGCGAGGCTGGTCAGCCTCGTCCCTTCCTTCTCCCTGTTGTGCTCTTATTAAAGCTTTAGTTCGAGAACCCCATAGGTTTGCTTCCCTGGCTTTTCCTTTGGCACGGGGTGGGGGTGGGGGTGGGGGCAGAGGGTGAGGTGGGCCTAGTTGGAGGAACACAGCGGGTGGGAGTGGTGCTGGGGTGCAGGTGACCTACAGGCTGGTTTCCCTAGTTTTTCCTTTGGGCATGAGGTGGGAGCGAGTGGAAGGTAGGGGAAGAAGGTCAGGGTGGCCTAGTGCGGCAACACAGTGGTGTTTGGGGTGCAGGTGTGGAAGGCAGGCGGGCAGGGATGGTGGAGGAACAGCCGCTTTGGAGGGAGACAAGGGGGACCTGGATGGGGGTACCCCCCATGCACCTCTTGGCCCTGAACCAGCCTGGGCCAGCCTGGCCAGCTGCATCAGAAAGATGGCCTTCTCATGGGAGACCACAGAGCAGAGACGACCCATGTGCAAAGGCACGCCTTTTGGCTGAGGACACAGATGTAGAACAGCGAGTGGCATGTGGGGCCTAGGGTCATGGAGGATTATGACTCATTATTAACCTTTATTAATCAGCAAGATCTGCCAGGAGGTTTGCCTGGCACTGGATGTGAGTAAGATATAACCTGCGTGCCAGTGCCTGGAATGCTCCAACATCTATGGCTTTGCCTGCCCTGGGACTGAGGTTTTGTACATGAGGCCATATCCCTAAAGCTAATCTCTACCCTACAGACTGTTATTTGCAGAATGGTCTGACACTTTGCTTGCCCTGCCTTCAATTTTTGGCTATCCAAGCCCCCTGCCCTCAGCATATTTGTTTGGCAACTGGTTTCATCCCACAGGCTATCATCTGCATATAGGGCTGATGGCCGGACAGAATCTGAAACATCGTTCCTGTGACCTGTGACTGGAGTTGGAAACCTCTCTGTATGCTCTGGGCAAGAATGCCACAGCTACCTTCCACTTCTTGCTTCAAACAGCTGCAGTTGCCAATTCATTTGCAATGTTTGGCCACCCCTCCCAAATTCAGCTGAGGCCATAACTTGGAGCAGCTCAGGCCTGTACCCATCAGTCTAAGCACTGACACCATCCCTTCTATCTGCCCAGTTCCCTGCAAACTCACCATACTCTGTCTTGCCCTCCCCTGCCACAATGGAAACTAACAACTTCCTAGGACCATTCAAGTAGAGGAGACATAGAAAAGCACAAAGAGACAACGTAAGTGGACAACTCATGAAGGCAAAAAAATTACATAAACGCATACATATTTGAAGACTCCCCCAGCTTATAAAGAGAATGAAATTCTGCCATTTGTAAGCAAATGGATGCAACTGTAGGATACTGAGAGGGAACAAAAGCCAGACGTAGAAACACAAGTACAATATATTATCTTTCATACGTGGAGAAAAAAGTAATAATTTAAAGGACCTGAAAATAGAAGAGAAGACTATTGGAAACAGGTGATTTTGGAAGATGGAATATTTGGAAGGAAGTAAAGGGTTGAAGCCTGGTGGCTTGGTATATATACAGTATGCAGATAAATACATAGGTGGTAATGAAATCGTGAAGAACATTCAAATGTAAAACTAAGGATAATTTCAAATATATAAATCAATTTTAAAAATTTACAAAAAAAAAGAGAAGAATGGTTAATAGAGACAGATGAAATAGGAATTTGGGGAAATATGGCGATCAGTCTTGGGAGATGGGTTTTCTTTTTAATAGTAAGCTACACAAAGAATATGAATAAAGGACATATTACAGTTAGACAACTTCAAATGGATTCAAAAAAAGGTTTTCAAGACTTTATAAAACAGCACAGGAAAAAAAGTAACTTTAATTTTTAGAGTTAGATGCCTACGTGTACAATTCCACATCCAAGCTGAGTAATTAATATGAATAATAGAAGCACTATAAAAATTGCTCCTGGAAACACCCATCTAAAATTCTGAAACTGTAAATGCTTATGCAGATATTCATCGATGATAAAATGTTTGTGACCAAAGATGAGGGCAGGTGTCTTCTAACCAGGGTTGAATACAGCCTAGAAACGAGTCTTTGGGAAATGCCACAGCCCCACTGCAAGCTCACACCCAACACGTTAAGATCTGGCTCTGCTGCTGCGGGAATGCTGTCAACAGTTTAGCACATCTGGGCAGGAAAACATGAGTTGTGCTCAGTTAAGTCTGAGTGAACATGTCGGGTTGGTTTTCCTGTAAAGGCCCATTTGCAATGGAATTGGCTCTGTGACCTCCTGAATAAATGAAAGCATGCACAGAAAAATGGATCCCACCGTTATTTATTTCTTCCTGAAATAAGAAAGGTAACATTCACTTTGGGCAAGTGACAAGAGAACCAAAGAAGCCAATCGTAAAATCAAATGACATTTTCTTGCAAAATGTAACTGCCACTGCTGGGGAGAATGTATCTCCCTTGCTGTCAGGGGCTGGAGGATCCACACTTAACTGTTGCTACTCACAGAACTGTTGGGGGTTCACTTAATGGTTAACAGAGTCTCAGTCATATTTCTAACAAGCGAAGTAAAGAGAAAGGAGCTGCACTGACTGCTACTAATGTCCTCTTAGCATGGCTAATGCTCCCTGTGCGTCCTCTACGTGAGCGTCAGATGGTTTCTTCAGAGTGGTCAAGGACCAGGGATTGAAGGTATGTTTCAACAACAGACACATCTTGCTCTTGCTGTTTGAAAATGGAGAATTAGGGAATTGTTATTGCATCTCTGCCCGTAGGAAGCCATCTCGAGGCTCACGGCATTACAGACACACGACTTACAGTTTCCATGATAACTCTGTCCTGTGCCTTGGAGATTTCTTTCTTCACTTCACTTTCTTCACCACCAATAAAAGCTTTGAGATGTTCACTCAAGTCCTTGGCTTTCTGAAAAAAACAAACAAGCAAACAAACAAAACTCTGCTTGAGCACAAAGCCCTGGCTTGGCTTGACACCTCACCTCATTTAATTTCAAAAGAACCGACTCTGCATATCCAAAGGACGCTTGCTATGAATTCAAAGAACGAACAGTGGCTACTTCACACACATCTAAATAGCCACTCCAAAGAAAGCTCCAGTGCCACATTTTAAGGTGGTGCCATTGTGGGACAACAACAGCTAAGACACTTATCTCCGAAAATGGGTGGAGGATCAGTTAAAAGGTCCCACGGAGCAGACATGGAAAACGAGGCACAGGCCCACGTTGGAGACCCCCAAGGTTTCCCAGAGGAGGGAGCCATTCACTATGTCCATGGAATGTGATTTTTCAGAGGAAGACACAGTGTACGATCCCATGACCCTTCAATCTAAGAAACGCTCAAGCGGGGACTCAAACCCCTCTGATCTCTCAAAGCACACTGCAGTGGTGGACACAGAGGAGAAAGAACTGTGTCACCCTCTGTCCAGAAATTGCAAAATGCCTGTTCAGTCTCTGCCCTATTCCCAGAGCCCAGAGCACCTTGGGAACAGATGACATACACACTAGCTGAAAACAGGTATGGAAGGGGAGCTTGCTGGGCTCGCGGCTGAAAAGGACACAAATGGTGACTTCAAGCAGTAAAAACGTAAGATTTCCTTAGAGAAGACAAGGCACAGGGAGCTTTCTGGGCAAAGAGCAGAAGCAAAGCATGGACACGGAATAGGAGCCACTTCAGGGGAAGCTGGTGCACTGGGAGGAGGGAAGACAAGATGGACAGAGGGAAGCAGGCAGCCAGTGAAGCTGTCAAGAGGCTGTGGGGGGGGGGGGACGGAGGGGGAGGGAGAGGGGGCGTGTTGTGCAGAGGACACAGGAAGCAGAGAGAATTAAGAAGGAAGGCCTCTGGGAAATCTGGAAGAGGGAAAGGCCATGTTTCAGGACAATAGTCACTCAGAGCCAGAGCCAAGGACTAGGAAAGGAGGGAAGCCTGAGTGGAGAGGCAGAGGGAGATCAAGAGAGTGAGGGAGTCAGAAGAGCACAGGGCAGAAGGGCAGGGACCACCTGGGAAGCCAGAGGCCCAGTCACAAGGCTCCCTCTGTGGTGCTGCTCACATTGAGCACTCACAGTTAGAATCAAGCCTTTCTGGTCAGTTCTTCCAACCAGTTCCCAAGCAGTATTCAGCTGCATTAGAGCTGCATGTTCCCTTTCCTTAAGCTCTTCCTAAAGGACTGGATGTATGTAGATGGCCCCCAAGGTCTTGAAAATTCATTTTTACTTTTCTGTGTGCATGGGTGTGTGCCGGAGGGTGTCCCTGTATGTGTGCTTGAGTGTGGAGACCAGAGGTCATAAAAAACACTCAAAGTGATTTCCTTCACATGTACATGTTTGCACGCATACACATGTGTGTGTTCCCATGTGCCGGCGCCTTCCTGAACCGCTCACCACATGACTTTTTGAAGCAGGGTCTCTCACTAAACACGGGGTTTCCAATTTGGCTGTACTGGTGGTCCCACAAGCCCCAGGGGTCCTTGTGTCTCTCTCTACCCTCACCACTCTGGGGTTACAGGCACCTGTTGCCATGCCTGGAGGACACATGGCTGCTGGGGATATTCACTAGGGTACTAAATGGGGTACTCATGCTTGCTCAGCAAAGACAGGCCTAGCTTCTCGATAGCATCTTGAAAACATTTAATTTACTGTGGCACACTGAGCACGTTAGTTAAGGCATCTGAATCAGATATGAGGAGAGATTATTTCATAGTGTATTTAAATGAGAGCATCCAAAAGAATTCCCACTGAAGGGCTGCTTCAACTCCTGGATATATAGAGGTCACTTAGGAACTAGAGCTTCGGCAAGGGTACGATTGCCAGCTCGCAGCTCTCAGTTCAAAGAGGGTTAATCCTCTGCCAGCTTTGTCATTCCCCACATCTCTTGGGGAGCTCTTGAAATACACGGCCACCAATACTCAAGAACAATGCTGATGTCGGAAGACTACAAAACACTCAACATGAAAGAAAATAAAATCTACCCTTGCCCATTGCTTGTTTTACCGACCTGTCCAATCCAAACGAGTCAAAGAAAACCAGAAGGATCCCCAGACTTGCCAATTTCCATCGAAATGTCACGAGAGGTCACTAATAGCTCATCACCGCGATGCAGTATGCTCCTTTCTAAGCAAATTTCCAGTCACCAGCTCCCGTGCTAGAACACTGTCCCCAACACTGTCATCAGTTTCCCAGGTTAAACAAACCTTAGCATTTCTCCTATGTGTGGGGAAAATAATCCAAAGAGAATGTGATCCCGGTTTTCAAAACTAATTACTTCTCCCACAAACTGAGAAAGGGCCAACCTGTCTTCTGCTTTTACAGACACCTGGTGTGACATAAATGGGTGTGTTCTGTTAACAAGTGCAATCCACCAGACCTTCAAAAATGTGTCACATAAATCTTTAGCGTTTTCAATCCTGGTTTCATGATCCTCTATAGCTTTCTGTAAAATCTTCATCTGCTGCTGAGCTATAAGCTGAAATAGAGGAAATCAATGACAAAATGTCAGTAAAGCTCAACATCCAACCCTGCTGCTTACAGGAACTGCTTCCCGTGATGTTTTGTGTTCTGACATTCATGAACAAGTTTGAAGACATGCCCTTCACTGCCAAAAGCAACATAACACGGTCTGACCAGTCACAGAGTGAGATAGTCTGTCAAGCCTGTGCAAAAATTCTATGAAATAATTATTCATTTTGAAATTAACACAAGACCCACCTAATCTGTGGATTCTCACCTCACCAAAATTAAGTACAAAGCATTCCTTTGTTTTCATAAAGTATTTATTTTAATACAACGAGGACACAGAATAGCTTCCAAGGAAACCCTTCTTTTCAAAAAAAAAAAAAAATTTTTTTTTTTTTGACCAAAGCCTTCCTCATCAATCAGTCATTCCCCAGCTTGTGACATTCCATCAACTACATTATCAACCAAATAAGAAGGGCAGGGAAGACGAACAGCAAACATGCATCAGCTCCCACGGTCAAACGTTCCATAGCAACATGCCACAAAATGAAACCACTCAATACACAAAGTCTAGAAAGGTAGGGATTCTTCACAGGTCGGCTTTTACTCCTAGGAAACTGAGGCAGGGAGGTTAATTATTTTCCTGAGCTTTCACAATGAGCAAGTGTCAGGACTATGGTTGCATCCCAAGCAATGGGGTCCAGAGAACATGCTCCTCACCACCAGACTGGAATCTGTCTCCATCTCCCTCAGATTCCAGGTTCTGCTTCCCCACCTTTGGAAGTCAGCGCCTTTGGGAGTACAGTTCTATCCTCCATCAGGATGAAAGATTCCTCAAAGACCGCACTACTCGGTGTCCATACTGACTGTTCTCACTCTGCCTCCCTGATCACTGTGTCAGAAGGCTACCTGGGACCCCCCCCCAAGCCCCACCCCATCCCGCACTACTTGGCATCCGCACTGTGTGGATCACAAAGGCTCCCCTCCCTCTGAGCATACAAGCCCATACCTTCTCCTGCACTCTCCAGGCAGTGCCTGCTCAGCCTCCCCCAGCCCCCCATGCTGGCTCCTAACCCATGACCACATCACCCCTCCACAGAAAAAGAAGCAAGCCAGAGAGGATGGCCAGTCTCTCCAGGCCACATCCACCCCCCTCCTTGTCTCCGTAGGCTCATGTCCTGTCCTGTCCCTTTCCCTCTCGACTTGATGCACTGAAGCCCTGACACTTTGGAAACAGACACAGTGGATCTAGTCCAAGCTAAGAGAGAGACACTCACAGTAAGGTGTTCTTCTTGCTCCCTTGCTCTCCCCACCTCGTCCAGCCACTTGTGATAGAGAGACTCAAACATCTGGGAGTGCATGGAGTGAAGCTCCTGCCTGTAAAACACAGTAACAATTACTGAGCATTGTCACACTGCGTGTGGGTAAGGCAATGGCGCACACACTCATCATTTTGAAACAAGAGCTAGGAGCAAAAGAGAAAGGGGACATGAATGAAATTGGCTCTTGAGAGGCAGCAATGTGACTCTCGTCCCAGAAGAATGTTGTCCTAATTTGCTGCCAGTGACGCGCCGCCATTTCACCTGTCTTCCCTCTCGAACACCTAGGATGCTGTGATGCATACATTTCCCAAGATTGCATTTCTGGCTTAAAATTAGACTCATCTTCCCTTTCCCTTATGGAGTAACCTAGAGATTCTGAGAGCCCAAGTCTGTGTTGTGAAGGCAACATACCCTTCATCCTCTGGGACTTTAGATACACGAAGAGGGCACAGAACCTCCGCCCCCGACATGGGCACAACGTAGACCATAGAAGACTGGCCTTCCTTACAGGAAGTTATCTGTATTGTTATCTGACAGGGGGGAAACCGGTCTCTTGCCAGTCTTGAAGCTAATACATCTCAGCTGCGTAAAAGTGGGGGAGGGGGGGGTCCCCGCCAGCTATGAATAGGACTAGCTCATAGAGAAAATGCAGTGCTATGTAGGTCCCATTAGCGATTCCACTCTGTGCAGGACCACAATGGCAGGCAGGAGTGACTTTGGAAGGAAGAGTAAAAGCTGTACAGGTCTCGTTGACAGAGGGTCACAACTTTACCTTGACTTCTGTTGGGTTTTGAAAACACTCTGGAGGCTTTCATTCAGGCTGCTCAAAGAGGCATTTATATCCTTTTCAAACTGCTTCCTCTTTGCCAGAAGGTACCGAGTAACGTCACCTAGTCGAGAAAGGAAATGGTATCACTTTAAATCAAATACCCAGAGGAAGAGGCGCACTTTCATCCCTGACACATCACCTACACGGTAATCGGAGTATCTACAGATCTGGTGTCCATTTTGCTCTTCGTTGTATTTTTATTTTTTAATTTTAGACCGGGTCTTGTGTAGCCCAGGCTGGTCTCAAACTTGAGAGGTAAGTGAGGACGACTTCCAGTTCCTGATTCTCCTGCCTCCACTTCCTAAGTGCTAGGAATACAGGTGTGGGGGCATCGAGCTTTGACGAGTGACCGCCACTGACAAACCATTTTCTGGACACCTCAAAAACCCAAGCAGTTCATCTGTACCAGAAAGAGCGATGCTGTCAGACATCCTTGCTTGTATGAATTGACTCTATACACTGGCTAAGAACTGACGGTGTCTCTCCAGTAATGCTGTTTTAGGGCCACCTACACCAGTGAATAAAAGCTGTCTCGGCCTGAGGGGCGTGTGGTACACTGACTTGGTTACCGTGGATGACAGAAAACAAGCTAGTGTGGCATGCATGATGTTTGCATGCTATCACACTTTTCTTCCCTGTCCACAGTGTGGCTGCCTTCAGCATTCCCTGGCAGGCTCATAAACGTGTACGGCCTAAAGGCTGTTTTCCATGCCCTCCTTTGGCAGGGCTTCCTGGAGGAGAGCAACTTCGGAAAGCCAGAAAAAAAATGACTTAATTCAGAAGGTGAAAAACAGCTGTTGAAATGCGACATGCCACTCGTGCAGTAAAGATAAAAAGCAGAGACTTATCTGCTTGCCCATCATCCCTAGTAACACTCTTCAGCAATGCAGGAAGCAGGAAACTCTCCCCACGGCCTCAGTGACAGCTACAACACCCCCCTGCTCAGAGAGGCCAGCTAAAAGTTAAACTAAAGGTGCCCCCTGAAGGATAAATGGCAATTTACTGTCTCCCCCACCCCACCCCACCCCACCCCCAAAAATCCTCTGGGCGACAGAAGTGTAACAGAGTCCTGTTGGCGGGTGACCACGTTCTCACCACATATTAAGTTGTAGGGTCAGAAAGAGGGCTCTGGGACTAGCAACATCTGCTCAAACACACCTTTGACATCCGGTATCCTCTTCTGAACAGGCTCCCTATGGAAAATGCACACAAGAATCCTTAATTGAGGACAAACATCCCAAGTTTGCTTCGAAGGAAAGGTGAGGCGCTCGGTTTTGGAGAGACTAGCGCTTATGTGAGGCAAAGTTGGATTTTCCTGTTTGGGGCCATTACTTTTATTCCTTTATTCGCGTTTTCACAGTGAACCAATGAGTTCACTGCAGAATACATACGGGCACATGGGTAAGGGTTACTTACTGGAGCATGGGTGACTCAAAGTCAGCTGTATCCCCAGGACCCCAACCTCTGGCTGGGTGTTGGATGACACATGAAAACTGCATCCCTGGCGTTCGCTCCCTGCCCAACTGCAGGCAGCTCCACGGAAGTGTCTCCTCTCCTCAAGCGGTGACTCCCGTGTTATGTTGTGGCAGTGTAGGGGATTTTATACTAAAGGTTTACTGGAACCCATCCACGGTACAGCTGCAAGGCGCCTCATAAAGGTGTACTCACCCATCTGTCGTGCACTCCAGCCATATTCCCTCTCATCCTTCCTCAGTACCCTCCTGCTAGTCCTCCTCTATCACCCAGCCAGTGTCTCTTCAACTTTCATGCCATGTGACCATATTCAACCTCCAGAGTCGGCCTCTACTCCTCAAACCTTCCCCTCTATTGGGCATTGCCTGCCTCTTCCCAGCCTCTCTTCTGAATTCGGATTATATTATTTTATGGACCTATTTATAATTTAGGATCATCAAATGAGAGAAAACAGGTGACTGTGGTCTCTTTGGTGCTGGCTTATTTCACTTAACACCAAACTCTCCGTTTGGATCCATTTTCCAGCAAAGGGCAGAAATTTCTTTGTATGCCTGCATAAAACCACACTGAAACTACCTCCTGGGACAGGCCAAAGTTCCTTTAAGACATCACCTGGCCTCTTGCACGTCTGGTCCTGAGGAACAGCTGCCCATCTCACTGGTATCAACTGCTGGATTGTTTGCTGCATTGAGAAGAAAGGAAAAAAAAAAAAACCTTTGCGAATGAAGTGTGCTGTTCTCATCATCCTACATGGGAAACAGCTTCACTCTAGGGTTGGTTGAGCCCATGGCCAACAACAGTTTTAAAGTAGTCTTCCAGGAACTCATGCCCCCCACCCCAACACACACACACACACACACACACACACACACACACACACACACACACACACAGGTGAAATTCAGCTCGGCCGGAGTCTGGGGACAGCAGGTACATGTATTTGTACAAGCTTTTCAAGGAAATTCACTGTGACCCATGGGCTTTGTCAGAGGCACATTGGTCAGGACAATGGCTCTCCTCTGTGAGCCTTGTACCTCTGCCACGGGGTGAGAACGTCAGGTGGGGACAGAAACCCAGAATATGCTTTGAGAATCAGCTCTCAGCACCCGAATCTCCCATCTCCACCCCACCCACGCAATCCCATGCAATGACCTGGTTAGTACCAGGCCACTCCTGTGCTCCACCTGCCAAGGAGTAGTATAATGTCCCCTCCGTTAGGCCCAGCCCTATATGCCCCTTATCAGTTGTTACCGGGGGTGATTGCATCTGGGTTCTGGAAGTCATCTGATGGGAGATTCTGATCAACCCTTGGGCGCTTGGCACGTCTCTCCATGTCTTTCTGTTCCTTGCTTGACATGGCTGGGGCCTTGCTGGGCTGGGCAGGACTCCTGAAATGCTGGTGTGCACAGACAGTAAAGACACCAAGAAGCAATTTCATGACGGCAATGGAAACAGGTACCGGGACTCCACAGGCTGTGGCCATGTGTCCTGGCACTTGCTGTGCTGGAGCAAAGAGGAGGCAGGAGGATGACACCGATATCCCACCACATCCAATCACTTTCTGTTCCATTTTTCTGGTTGAATGCAGAGCTCTCCACAAGCCTGTAGCCCTCAATCTCAGCCCTTTCTGCTGATTTCTTGTCACCCACCAAGACAATCCTATTCCGAGACCCACCCCTCAGAAACCTCTTTCTCTTTTGAGGAAAGTAACACCTAGCTACTGTCTGCCCCCACAAGCAAGCATGCTTACTGATTGGCTGGAACAGCACCTATACGTGAGAAAGGCCCAGCAAGTGGGCCCAGCTGGTATACATATATGAGGGGTGTGTGTGTGTGTGTGTGTGTGTGTGTGTGTGTGTGTGTGTGTGTGTGTGTGTATGCGCACGCAAGCGCATACGTGCACGGGGGTGGGGTGGGGTGTGTGGGGTGGGGAGGGGGGTGCCTGACATGCGTGGTAGGCGATACAGGCTAAGGCTGAGCACCCAGCAGGTGAATATGCATCTTCCTGTCCCTGTGTGAGGCCCCTCAGCAAGTTTACATACTTGAGGCTGGCCCAGCAGGCACACTTGCCTGTGGTGGGCCAAGTATCCATCCTTGGTTGAGGCTGCCCTGGCACAGATGAATGGATGGCCTGGGAGTATCATGCAAACTCAAGAGGTGGGGCTAGGAGGTGCTCTTGCAACAGATGGGTCCAACAGTCACATATGCCTGGCTCGGGCCCAGCAGTTGCCACCCATGAAAGGGCCCAGCGGACATCGAAAATGGTGACGCATTGTCCAGCGTTGACCAAAGAGTACACAAGGGGCAATGGGGACCCTCCATGTTCTCGCCCATCCCTCACTCTGTTTCCCACATACCTTCTAGTACCTGCAGTACCCGGGATTCTGTCTAGTCCCTTGCAGAAGGGAGGTTTGCAGAAATCACTTCAACCAGGCCCCCGACACCCTGTGATTCTGTGCCACCACCAAGCACTGTGTGGGCCTAGGCTGACTCTGATTTTGTAACCAGCAGAACCTCAGAACAGGGATCCGCTCAGATTAGGTGGCCATGCTTCTTCCCCTCAGAGGCTTGTCCCACCTCAGCAGGGTCCATTTCCCTGAATGGAATGATTTCTGATGAGGGGGAGAGCATGCAGGCCTGTGTGAGCCTGCTCCAAGGTGCTAAAGGATGAGACCCATCCAGTAATCGAGCATGTGTGGTAACCTGGGCTCGCAGTTGTACTTGACTGAGCTGGGAACTGCATGCAGTAACAGGGGCTGGAAGGGACTGGACTTCCCTCAGCAGAACACATGCTGTCCTGCCCACTCCTCCAGGGCCCTGCGATCCTGACAAATCTTTCTCAGAATCGCCCCCGCCCTCCTCCCCGTGCTTGCAGTCTGATGCAGAAGTGAGGCTCCAGACATCATCTCAAGGGTTACCCTGGGTCACAATAACTAGTCACTCACCGAAGTGAACCTGCTCCACCACCGTCCCCTGAGACCCTCCTTCTACTCGAGGGTGGTCACACCCAGTTAGTCCTCACTTCCTGAACTTAAGAATCCCTGCTTCTGGAAGAGCAGGAAAAGCATGTAGGCACGGGCCTAGCCAACCCTGTTCCATGGTGAGGTCCACCCAGAAATCATGCCTAGGGGCTCAGGGCTTGCAGTTGCACGTGCCTGAAATGGGACCTGCACTATCAAGGGTGGGAAAGGCCCAGAGCACCCCTTCTTTCCAGCATGCCTGCCTGTCTAGCTCTCTCCCCTGGACCAATCTGGAAAATACCCAAGGAGTACAAAAAGTGCCTCCTGGAAGGTCCCTACTCCCTCCCCCAGCAGGCAAAACTCCCTAGGGCCCTGGGGCCCCAACAAAGCTTTCTCAGACTGCTCAATCCAGCCTCCTCCAGTTACATTTGGAAGTGAGGCTCTGGATGTCATGGGCTATCCTGGGTCCCAATACCTCCTCACAGACCTAGGTGGACAGGATTCACGATGATCCCCAGAGACCCTCCTTACCCACGAAGGTGGGTCACACTTAGCTAGGCTTCCCAGAAAGTAAGCATCTCTGCATCTGGAAAAGCAAGCATGGCAATCGCATATGTGTGGGCCAGGGTGAGTGTGGGGGTGTGGAGGTGTGGGGGTGTGGGGGTGTGGGGGTGTGGGCGTGTGGGGATTGAGATTGCGCCTGCATGTACTGAAAGTTTCGAGAACCTGAAACTGTATGAACCAGAAACTGCCCAACTAAGGCCTAGAAAGGCCCGGAACACCCAGAACCCTCTTTTAAATGGTCCCACCTGTAGAAATATGGGCCCGGGAGAATGTCTGGAGTACTCAGAGACGGTCCCTAGACACTCCGCCAGGACACATGCTGTCCTGCCCACTCCTCTCACAGTCCCTGTGGCCCTGACAAACCTTTCCCAGACTGTCCTCCCGGGCCTCTTCCAATTCGATGGGGAATTTAGGCTCCTGAAGTCGCCTCATGGGTGACTATGGTAGGTTCCAATACCTAGTCACTCAGCTAGGAGAATATGCCTCACTGCAATCTCCCCAAACCACTCTTACCCTCGAAGGGCAGTCACAGCTAGTGAGACCTCACTTCCGGAAGCATTCCACCTCAGTGGAAAAACGTCCTCGAGGGCGGTCACAGCTAGTGAGACCTCACTTCCGGAAGCATTCCACCTCAGTGGAAAACGTTTGCGCATGTGTGAAACAGGCCGCCCCCCTCCTGAGGCCCAACTAGCACTCACGCATGCGTGCCTTGGGTCTTGGGGTTGCGCATGCGTATCCTAGGAACCACTGTACTAAGGCTTGCGAGGCCCTGAACACCCACACCCTTCTTTCCAATAGTCCCACCTATGGGCATGTGGACCGAGAGAACATCAGAAGTACCCAAAGACCTCAGAAAGGGCCATGTGGAAGGTCCCTAGTCTTCCCCTAAGCACATGTGCTGCCTAGTCCACTCCCCTCAGTCCCTGCAACTCTCACAAAGCGTTCCCAGACTTTCCTCCTGTGGCCTAGGCCACTCGGTGTGGAATTTGGGAGCCAGACATCACCTCAGGGAATATCCTGGGTCCTAATACCTGGTCACTCACCTAGAGGAGCAGGCCTCAGCACTGCGACCCGAAACCCTGCTTCCCCTCCAGGGTGGTCAGAGCTGCTTAGTCCTCACTTGCAGAAAATAGTCGGCCTCCGTGGAAAAGCATGGGCGCATGTGTGTGCGCATGCGCCTGCCCAGTCCGTTTCCTTGGTTAGGCCCCCCCACAATCGTGCGCGGGTGGACGGGAAATTGCGCTTTAAGGCCTGAGAGAACCTGAAACACCCATACTCCTGTTTTAATTAGGCCCAACAGTGGACATGTGGACCCGGATGAATGTCTCATGTGCCCAAAGACTTCAGAAAGGGCCGTGTGGCAGGTCCCTAGTCCTTCTGCAAGCACACATGCTGTCCTGACCACTCCTTTCAGTCCCTGCTTCCTATCAAAGCTTTCCCACACAGCCCTTCCAGGCCTCCTCCACTCCACTGTGGAATTCGGGCTCCGGACGTCACCTCAGGGACCATCCTGGGTCCCAATACCTAGTCACTCACCTATAGGGACACAGCTCACCACAATCCCCGAGACCCTCTTTGTCCTCGGGGGTGTGGAGGTGGGGGGGTGGGGGGGTCTCAGGTATGCCTCACTTCCGGAAAGTGTTCTACCTCTGTGGAAACCATGTCCGTGTATGGGAGCCTGGCCAATGCTATTCCATCTTGAGGCCCACCCCGTAATAACTCATACTTGACTTGGAGCTTTCGGTTGTGCACGCATAAACTGGGAACTCACCTAGGAAGGGCTGAAAGTGCCCGGAACACCTCTGTTCCCTGTTTGCAATGCTCCCACATGTGGAAGTATGGACCTGTGCAGAATGGCGGGAGTACCCAAAGGGTACTGAAAGGGCCATGTGGAAGGTCCTTAGTCTCTGCAGGGGCACACACGCTGTCCTGCCCACTCCTTGGGGTCCCTAGCACCTTCACAAAGCTTTCCCAGGCAGCCCTTCCAGGCCTTGTCCACTCCAGGGTGGAAGTGAGGCCCATGACATCACCTCATGGGCCCTAACACCTAGCCACTTACCTACACAGACATGCTTCGTGACAGTTACCTGAGACCCTCCTTTTCCAGGGATAGTCCTCACTTCTGGAAACTAAGGGTGCTGTCCTCTCTAGAAAAATCAGCAAGTGTAGTTGGAGTTTTCCTGGTCCTGCCTGGCCCACAGTCAGGACAAATCTCTCTCTCATCCGCCAGTCCCACGGCCGCTCACACCCAACCAAGTAAACACACAGACTTACATTACTTATAAACTGTATGGCCATGTGGCTCAGGCTTCTTGCTATCTAGTTCTTATATCTTAAATTAACCCATATCTATTAATCTATACCTTGCCACATGGCTCATGGCTTACCAGTATCTTACATGTTGGTACTCATGGCGGCGGCTGGCAGCATCTTCTGACTCAGCCTTCCTGTTCCCAGAGTCAGAGTTCTCTTCTCTCTTTGTCCCACCTATACTTCCTGCCTGGCTACTGGCCAATCAGCACTTTATTTATTAACCAATCAGAACAACACATTAACAGCATAGAGAACATCCCACAGCAAGCAAGCATGCATGAGACCAGCTGAAGGTGCTCCTAAGGGATACCCATCCAGCAATCATACGAGTGTAACTTGGGGCATGTAGTTGTTCGTGCTTGACTCATGTCTGTGGTTGCACATGTGCATCGGAACCCAGTAAGCCCCTCTTGTCTAAGTATCACTCATGGCTGCTTCTCTGGAGGACCCGGGCGTCCAATGATGAGTGCAAAAGTACACAAGGGGCAGAAAAAGGAAGCCCCTAGTCCCCCGCCCACTGTACAGTCTCGTGCCCAGCCTTTTTAGGCCTGCCGTATCCAGGGCCCCCTTCCTGATTGCCTTCAGGAGCTTAGTCCCATCTAAAGAATAAGTGAGACTCTTGGCAGTCACTGTATTGTTCAGCTTGGGTTCGGACACTTCATGGTCCTACTGTCCTCCCCCAAGGACTGTGGATCTAAGATGGCCATGCTTTGCCACCATATCATCTGGGCATGCATAGAGCGTGGGGGCTCAGAACACAAGTACCATGATATCTGACCTTATGCAAGAAGCATACAACGACAGCAGTTAAATCCACCTCTCTCCTCCCCCCACCCCCGGCCCACTTGACCATTTAGGAAGGAAATTAAGAACCACTGTTAAGCACAGGAAGAATCCCAAGGCCTTGTTGCTGTGGGGATTTTCAATGCTGTATCTACTGTGGGGAGCACCCTTGCATTCATCAAAATGGAAACTGTTACATCAGCCCATCACACAATCACTCCACCCCCAGGTATGGACCAATCCC